TACATACATACATACATACATACATACATACATACATACCTGCCTTAATACCTACCTACCTACCTACCTACCTACCTACCTACCTGCCTACCTACCTACCTACCAATCATATATGCAGTATTTTTCGCACTGTCTGTTGGGATTTTACTTAAAACTACCGCACACTAAAGTGTATATTTTCATCTTTCCTTCTTTCTACACCAGTACTATTACTCAGTGCGGATATTCGCAGGACAGGAGCCAGCAGGTGTGTGGGTGGGCTGGGTTACACCAGACTATCACCAGTATGACCTTCATTATGACCTCAGCAAAGTGAGAACCGTAACGGTCACTGTAGGTGATGATAAAGGCAACATTCACGACAGGTATGTTACTTACAGCGTAAATTAAAATAAATGTTTTCACTTGAGAGCGATGCTGCAGAAATTGCTGTATTTATTTCTCTTCTTCAGCATAAAGCGCAGTAACTGCTACATGGTTTGGGGAGGGGAGTTTGGCGGCTCCCAACAAACCCGAGTCAGTCAGGAGGACTTTGTGATTGGCTGCCTTGTTGATTTGGACACAGGACTCATGACATTCACTGCTAATGGGAAAGAGATAAACACATTTTACCAGGTTAGATAAGCATCAGTCTGGTACGGATACTAGTACTCATGAAGTTCTGATTATTGACTGCCAAATCTTCCTCAGGTGGAGCCGAACACGAAGCTCTTCCCGGCCGTCTTTGTTCTGCCTTCCAATCAGAATGTAATTCAGTTTGAACTGGGCAAGCTCAAGGTTAGCACAGTAAACTAATCTATGACTAAAGCTTTAAAATCTGCACAGTGTTGGCTTTATGTTGCTAGTTTTTTCCTTCATTATTTGTTTTCCTTGCCCTACTAGAACATCATGCCTTTATCAGCTGCCATGTTCCGAAGTGAACGTAAAAACACCGTTCCCCAGTGTCCTCCGAGGCTGGATGTCCAGATGTTGACTCCAGTCATCTGGAGTAGGATGCCCAACAACTTCTCGGCTCCAGAGACGGGGCGTATAAGTGAGAGGCTGGGCTGGATGGTGCAGTGTATGGAGCCACTCACTATGATGGCCCTTCACATCCCAGAAGAGAACAGGTCAGACACTTTTATTCTAGTGTTATGACAAAAGCTTGTTCAGGAAAATTGAGCCTATTGTTTTGTGTAGATGCATCGACATCCTGGAACTGTCTGAGCGAATGGACCTGCTGAAGTTCCACTATCACACGCTGAAGCTATACGGCTCAGTGTGCGCTCTGGGTAACAACCGTGTGGCCCATGCCTTGTGCAGCCACGTGGATGAATCTCAGCTTTTCTATGCTATAGAGAGCACCTACCTCCCTGGACCAATGAGGAGCGGCTTCTATGACCTGCTCATCAGCATGCACCTGGAGTCTGCCAAACGAAACCGTCTGGGAACTAACAAGGAGTTCATAGTTCCCATGACAAACGAAACACGCAGCATCACCCTGTACACTGCCAAGTCTCATGCTCTGCCAGGGGTCGGGCTCACCACATGCCTCCGTCCAAAACTGCATTTTTCTTCCGTTGGGTTTGTGGGGACAGATCCAGATATTTACACACTGAGTCCGGTCATCCCCTTACAGGTGAGATATGTCTTTTTAGCAGTTGAGGTCATGCTTTAGCTCATGCAATTCACTAATTTGTTTGTGTTTCCAGGTGTTAAAGACCAAGGCCCTGAACATGCTGATCGAAGCTGTCCAAGACGGAAGCCAAGCCATGAGAGATCCTGTAGGAGGCAGCGTCGAGTTTCACTTTGTTCCCATCCTGAAACTCATCAGTACCCTTCTCATAATGGGCGTGTTTGATGACGAAGATGTTACGCATATCCTGAAAATGATTGAGCCCACAGTGTTTCGTACATCAAAATCTGAGGAGTCTGCTGAAGAGAAGGTGAACGGAGAGAAAGAACTGACGAAATCAGCATCTGCCAAAGAGGAAGAGGTGTATGCTTCTGAGCAAGAAGAAGGATTTGAAGAGTATAGTTTTGATGAGGAAGAGGAAGAAGATCTAGAAGAAGTGGAAGAATTAGAAGAGACAGAATCAGGCTTGGCACATGAGGAATCTGTGGAGGATTTGGAGTTTAACAGTGAGAAAGGAGCTGAGGAAACGGAGAAAGAAACAAAGCCTGACCCTGAAGCTAAAGAGGAACATCTAGAGCAAGGACTTTTTCAAATGAAACTACCAGAATCTGTAAAACTACAGGTACTACTAGATTTATTTTCTAGTTAAATGCTTGGTGTCTGATGGAAAATATAAGTGATTCCCTTTGCTTTGGTTGAATAGATGTGCACCCTGCTGCAGTACTTCTGTGACTGCGAGCTACGGCACAGAGTGGAGACCATCACTGCCTTTTCAGACAAGTTTGTCACCCAGATTCAGTCCAACCAGAGGCAGCGCTATAACGACCTCATGATGGCCTTCACCATGTCTGCTGCTGAGACTGCCCGCAAGACCCGGGAGTTTCGATCCCCACCACAGGAGCAGGTAACTCACACAAATACATGAGACAATACAGATATGGGTACGTTTCTTTATCTGAATTAGAGAAACTTTGTTCACAGAACTTACAGGACTTATTTCATAGTTTTCATTTTGGTATCAACTGAAAATATCTGTAAATTTAGACAATAGAATGAATTAGGAACTTTGTTAGTGTGCCTTGCTTAGAATGGGATTCTTTTTGTTGTCCCCCACTGCTGGACGAAGAGGGGAAGAGGAAATACCTTCTGATTGTCCATCTTGAGCATGATAACTTGAAATTAGGTGAGGGACTGATTTCCCTTTTGGTGTGTGGCCACATGTAGGTGTAAGAAAAGTCACTATTGAAAGTCTGTGGGAAGAAACTGGAGTACACAGAGAAAACCCATGCATGCACGGAGAGAACATGCAAACTCGACCCAGAAGGGTCCCTGGCTGGGATTTGATTTGATGACCTTCTCGCTGAGAGGCAACAGCTCTATCAACTGAGCCACCATTGCACCTGGTGGTAGATAAAATTGCTCCTTCCACTTGCAAAGATCCGTCACTCTGTACCGCCTCAAAAAAGAAAAAAAAATCTTTCTTTGTTCTTCTACACAGTATAACTTCTACCCACTTGAATATCTTGCATCAATATCATTAAGGGTTACTTTAGTCTCTGTTCAATTCCAGTGTAGTGGACTAGGCCTACGTCGAAACTAAGTCTAAGGTCAAAACTCTTGACCTTTAGAACCTTGTGGGACAGGAACTGTCATTTCATGTATTTGAATACATAAATACAGGTTCACCCATCCTGAGACTTTCTTTCTTGAAGATTCAAGTGAAAAGAACACTCTCTTTTTATTATCATTACTATTCTACAAATGTTGATAATCAAAGTGTCTTAGTTCAAACCATTTTAGATGTTGCAGTGAACTAATCAATTTTATTAACTGAGTAATGATTTTTATTCTCATGCAGTTAGAACTCATGTTAAAAGCTGTTACAGAGTAATTATGCATTTTTCTGATTTCTGCTTTTGAATGAGCAAGTGTGTGCGTTTACAAGGTTACAGTCAAACGAAAAACAAGTTGTTATGTTAAAACTGTCAGGTTTTAGAATCCTCTCAGACGTAAGTAGAGATGTTTTGCACCTGTTTCCTGAAACACGCCAAAACAAAACCCTCTCGGTCTGTGAGAACATTTCTGATCTGTCTCATAACAATTCTCGCTGTCTCTAACCTCTTACGTCACAAAACCCACCCCGTCTGGTCGTTTCTGACCAATGAAAAATCCCAAAAAGTGAACCGGGAAAGAGTCTTTAAAATGTCAGTACTTCCTGGTCTAGTCAGTTCTGTAGGAGTTCTGTAAACTACACGAGAGCTAAAGTTCTGATGGAGTGCTGTTGGAGTTCCTGACATGACAACAAAGCTCTTCCGAGTTCCATGGGATTATAACATTTTCCACTGAGGTGAATGTGTGTCGAACAGAGCCTCGCCATTACTTCGGACGAGTAACAGCATCCTACTGAGACGCTGAAAGGGTGCGTTAAACGGAATCTCACCTGAGACATCTCCAGGTAAAGGAGCCGATTTCATCACCTAAGTGTACTGTAAGGAAAAGCTGAAGAAAGCCGGAGAGTGTCGATTCTGGTGAACACTTAATTTCCCTCACACACCATCCTACTCCCTCTAAACTTCTTTACATCTTTAAACTTTTCTATCAAGTAGAAATTCTTCCAGATATTTAGAAATGTCTGTGTAAAGTGCTTATTCACATCCGTGTGGGTAAAAGATCATAGTTGTACAGGTTATAAATGTCTGTGGTGCAGCAACGGAAAAATCATGGCCGTATGATTTTTCCTGAGTGATTGCTTTGTTGTTATTTTCATAATTTGCCAAATTAATGTAAATGTTTGATGTTAAATTTGATTCTGTAAATAAATGGCCGCATTCATTTTGATGGGTCAAATATAAATGACGTCTCACTTTTGCATTTCCTTAAATTCAATGCACGTTTTATTCAGTCCAGAAAAATGAGGAACCCGCGTTAAATGATGAATATATCCCAGCATCTGTTCATCTACACCAGTCCAGGAAAACACCCATCTCCAAATTTACAAGCCTTCATTATTCAAATCCCCCAGTGGCAGGGGACATCAGAGTACTGCTTGTTCTTGTAGGAGGTTATCAATCTGTTTTATTAGATCACCAATGTACTGCAATCTTTTCTAATTTGGTTACAACATTGTTTTGTAGGTAAACATGCTCATGAATTTCAAAAACTGCCCTGATTATGAGGAGTGCCCAGTCCCAGATGATGTTCGCGAGTCCTTGCTGGCTTTTCATAACACTCTTCTGGCTCATTGTGGTCAGTTTTTAATCTACATAATCTCCATTAACAGAAAACAGAAACACTTGCACTGAGAGTGGCACATTGTGTTTCAGGACTTTATTTAAATCCTTTTTTCAGGTGTTCATATTGAAGAAGAAGAACACGAGGAGGAGGTGGATAATTCTGTTCGCGGACGTTTGCGTCGTTTGCTGGAAAAGGTGAAAAAGTTTCGGGAGAAGAAGGTCGACGTAGAGCCAGAGCCACAGGAAGATAAAAAACCAAGTGAGCTTTTCATCACTTGCATGAACACCATATGGAACAAATATGGTACCGTTAGGTCAACAAGAGTAAGAAATGTAGGCACTATGACAAATACTGTTCTGGTACCTTTTTTAATCAAAGCAGAATAAGTTATATTTGTTTTATTGAAGCAAAAATTTGTAAATGTCCTTTTTCTTCAAAATCACTACTACATTATGTCACAAGGACTAAATACCCAGAGCGAAAGGACCAAATATGATCAACACAACACAAGAAGACAAGTTCAGTGCTTTTATTTACAGCAAATAAGTCACGGGAAGTTATCAGAAACTCTGGGGAGCAAGGAGATGGGTCAGCACTGAACTTCAACAAGAATATATTGATTATATTGTCCTCTGGTTCTTACTGATCAGTGAATGATGTTTGAATGATCACTGGTTCCAATAACCCTGAGAGCAATGGTAATCCAGCATGGGAAGTAGTCAATGGTGGGTGAGTGGTTGGAGGGCAAGGAAGACAGCTGAGGAGGTCATGAGGAGGTTTCCAGAATTACATGAGGAGTCCAAGAACTTGTAGGAGGTTCACTAGAAACAGCAAAAGGTACAGTTAAGTAAACTTAGGTGACTAGAAATATGAATGGCTAGAAGCACAAACCATTGGAAAGGTAATGCTCCAGCGTTGAAGAGAAGTCATCAACTGCCTTTTATATGCTGGGCATGTCTCATCAAGGGGATTGGTCTCAGGTGTGGTCATCTGGCGCCATCTAGTGACATCAGGAACGAAGTGACTGGAACTCCCACACATTAAACAACGTTAATATTTTCCTTTTTTCTTTTCTCCGTAAAATTTCTTCCTGTTTTTTCTTCTTTTTTTTTTTTTACCAGGTACATTGCAGGAGTTGATTTCCCACACTATGATCCACTGGGCCCAGGAGTCTTTCATTCAGAACCCCGAGCTGGTGCGTATGATGTTCAGCCTGCTTCACAGACAGTATGACGGACTCGGCGAGCTCATGCGGGCACTGCCCAAGGCTTACACCATCAACGAAGTGTCAATCCAGGACACCATGGACCTGCTGGAGTGCTTGGGTCAGATCCGCTCACTGCTTATTGTGCAGATGGGTCCAGAAGAGGAGAGGCTTATAATTCAAAGCATTGGGTTTGTGGATATACGTTTTAATTCATTTATATTTTTACCTTGAAGTTCATTCTTTGCGACAGACTTTAATTGTAATTTTTGTCCCTTTCAGGAACATCATGAGTAACAGAGTTTTTTATCAGCACCCCAACTTGATGCGAGCTTTGGGCATGCATGAGACTGTCATGGAGGTCATGGTTAATGTGTTGGGTGGTGGGGATTCAAAGGTGAACATTGTGTTTAAATTCATTCAACTCTGTTATTGTCCCTCATCGCTGAGTGAAGAAGACGAATTGAAAATACCCTCCATCTGTCCATGTTGTGATCGCGATAACGTGAAAAATAAGTAAAGCGCATATTGGTGTGCGGCTGCATATATGCATATGAAAGATGTCTTTTGAAAACTGGTTGCCATCCAAGATGGCTTCCACCATATATGTATATATGCTAACCTTGTGAGCTGGGAAACTGGAAAAATAAGCAATGTGTCGACTTCCATTTGGTGTGTGTCTGAATCTTGAGATAAAAAAGGTCCTTGTAAAAATTGGGTTGATGTCAAAATCCAAGATGGATGCCACCATAGATGTCTGTCTGTCTTTTGACCTGAATAAGTTGAAAAATAAGCAGCATTCAATTCAGTTTCAATTAAATTCAGTTTGTTTAGGAGGAACAGATACACAATGGAAGGTCAAGAATCACGTGAAAATAGAAATAGTATCAAATGAAAACTATTCAATTTTAACAAATCATTTAAGGAAATGTGGTCAGTTTGTCCTCTAGTAGTCTAAGCCTATGGCAGCATAACAAGCCAACCCTAACTATAGGATTTATCAAAAAGGAAAGTCTTAAGCCCAGTCTTAAAACTGGATGTGTCAACCTTACGGACAGAAACTGGAAGTTGGTTCCGCAAGAGAGGAGCCTGATAACTGAAAGATCTTCCTCTCATTCTGCTTTTGGAAATTCTAGGAACTGCGAGAAAGCCTGCAGTCTGAGAGCAAAGTGTTCTGTTGGGAAAGTATGGAACAATAAGATGGAGCTAGGTTGTTGAGAGCTTTGTAGGTTAGAAGTGAGATTTTGAATTCAATTCTGGACTTGACAGGAAGCCAATGGTGACTTCCATTTTTATGTATGGCTGCGTTAAATTCAATTCAATTCTGCTCTGGTTATTTTATAGTGCCGAGTCACAACAGAAGTTGTCTCAGGGCACTGAACAGAAACATTCATATATAAAAATAATAAGTTAACACTATTTATCTGACAAGCAAGCTGCTTTGAATTTAACTCCATCACAAAACTCTCATCTTGAGCAAGAATGAAGGTGACAGTGGAAACGAAAAACTCCCTCTTTTCACTATCAAAAATTGGGTTGCCACATCAAAATCTCAAATGACTGCCACTTATATATACACACCAATCATTTGAGGAAACTATGCTTTCTAGTTTTTATATTATTTAAAAGTATAGTGATTGGGGTTGCTGTGGGGGTGGGAGACAGACTGAAGATTAATCTATGGTGGCCAAGGCCACCATTGGCTACCCCCTGGCTCCACTGTTGCACCTGGTGGTGGATAAAATTGCTCCCTCCACTCTCCAGGATCCCTCACTCTGTGCTCCCTCAGACAAGCAAAGAAACAAAACCACCTCTGTTCTTGTCCACAGTTTAACTCCTCCCACTTGAATATCTTGCACCAAAAACATTGTTTACTCACATTCCCTGTTCAAATCTAGTCCAGAAATACACTCATCTCCAAAACTATAAAACATTTACTGTTTAAATCCCTCAGTGATGTGGGACATCAACACACTGTTTGTTAAACTTTACTTACAGACACCATGAAACAGACATATGTAAGACAAATCTAATTTATTACTTGGCTATAAAAAAAAATTGTATAATGCCTTCTTTGTTTTTTTGTTTTTTTACAGGAAATCAGATTTCCTCGTGTGGTGACAAACTGTTGCCGTTTCCTCTGCTACTTCTGTCGCATCAGTCGTCAGAATCAGCGCTCCATGTTCGACCACCTCAGCTACCTTCTCCAGAACAGTGGCATCGGCCTCGGTGATTGTCTTTGTTCAGTTCCGTTCTTCTTGAATGTTCATTCCTGACAGAAGAACTGTGATGAGGCTGAACTTTGTGCCCTTTTGTTCAGGAATGCGTGGCTCTACCCCACTGGATGTGGCTGCAGCTTCTTGCATTGATAACAACGAGCTGGCACTGGCTTTGCAGGAGCAGGATTTAGAAATGGTAGAAGGCTGTCCTTGTGCACAACTCAAACATCGCAGAGGTTTATATATCATTCCACTACCCCTGCTTCTTTTCAGGTGGTGAAATATTTGGCTGGATGTGGACTTCAAAGTTGTCCCATGCTACTGGCTAAAGGCTACCCTGATATTGGCTGGAATCCTTGCGGTGGAGAGAAATATCTCGACTTTCTTCGTTTTGCTGTATTTGTCAATGGTCAGATTTAGATTTTTGTGTTCTATTTCCTTTAAATGCCCACATTATTTTTATTTATCAGCTTTTATGGTGATGGATTAAAACATTTTCTTTTTGTTTTCTTTCAGGAGAAAGTGTGGAAGAGAATGCCAACGTTGTGGTACGTCTTCTCATTCGAAGACCTGAGTGCTTTGGTCCAGCTCTGAGAGGAGAGGGCGGCAATGGTTTGCTGGCTGCAATAGAGGAAGCCATCAAAATATCAGAGGACCCTGCGAGGGATGGTCCCAGTGTGAAGAAGGACAGACGTTTTCCTATGTAAGAACAAAGATAACATATTACACTAAAGGAACGTCTTCAGGTCGTTTCATCTTCATTATAAAGATGTCTGAGGTATTTAAAGTGTCCAAAAAGCACAACAGTCTCCATCTTCTTTAAATGGAATGAAGTTAAGACTATAAACAGAATTTAAAATGAATTAATTGTAAATTACTTTTGATTCCGTCAAGAAACAACCAAGCTGACCTTGAACTGAATGACATCTGGATTTCCAAAAAAGTTAAATCTGGTCCTCTGGACATTCAAAAAACAAAACAAAGCAAAACAACAAAAAATGTAGTAATGTTTCATCTTTCAGCTCAGTCTCTTAAATAGCACCTTCTCACAGTGGATCAACCAGTTTTGCTGCTGAAAACCAAAACCAGCTGCTCACATGGTCAAGAAGGACCATCAGCCTAACAATGGATCATTAGCACACTGATGGCTGTTTATTATTCACAGGAGGCTGAGTGATACTAGCAATAACAGCATTTGGTATGTTTACATGGACATAAGTAACCGGATCAAATGGCCGGTCGGAATAAAAGTGTGTCATGTAAACACTCCGTTCGGGTTATTTTTTGTGTATTTGGCACGATCCGATATAATTTGTGATCAGAACGAAACGGGTGGTTTACGCCGATCCGTAACCCGATCGGTGCGCATGTAAACGCTTGATCTGTTCGTTTTTATCTGATCGTGAAAAACTGACCTGACTGCGCATGTGCGACTTTGCCATTTCCGCCTGGCTACTGCTAATAATATTAGCATGTCAGGGAAGCAAAACTGGTCGGTGAGCAACACAACATTTTTACTAGAAACTTTGAAAGAGCTCAAAATGATCTGTATTACCTGTAGCTCAGTCAGGGAGTGCAGTAACGTCTCCACCGTCATTAAAACCTGTCGTGGGTCCATTTTGGGTGCTCAGATTTGTTTACATTCACCCGGAAGTAGAACTTCTTCTTCGGTGTTTTTTTTTAAGGAGAGTTTACCACTCTGCGCATGTCAGTACTGCTGTTCAGAACAAAGCCTGTTGCATGTAAACGTTCGTCATGAACAGATTGTGCCCATGTAAACAATACATTTGAATTATTCAAACAGAACACATTTCAATCCGGTCAAAGAATTCTGCGCATGTAAACATAGCTAGTGTAAGAGGGGGACAGTTGAACACGGAGGCCTCCACTCTCCCCCTCCACTGTTCAACTGTCCCCCTCTTACAATACTGCACCTCAGACTGAGGAAGTCTTTCGGATGAAAGACGAAACGTTTCTACATTTTTTGTTGTTTTGCTTTGTTTTGTTTTTTGAATGTCCAGAGGACCAGATTTAACTTTTTTCGATCTTTCTATCTGGATTATTGAGCATGCATCAGGACATCTGGATTTCTGTTTCCTCTGAGGTGGAAGAATGTTGCAGGAGAAAAACTAGAACATCACTAGAGAAATATCATTTCCTGTGACTTTTGCTGAAAGCTGCTGAAGAAGCTGAAACCAGAATGAAAAGGATTAATCTCTAACCTGTTAATGTGAGTTGAATTTGAACAGCTGACATTGGCTGAAAGCAGAAAAATAAAAGCGGAAAGCAAAAGCAAAAGTTCTGCAAAGCAAAAATGTAGCTGAAATTAGCAGAATAAGATGAAACAGGTAGAGACTAAATAGATAAAAAAAAAAAACTGAAATCAGCAAAGAAAAAAAGATCTTTTTTTGTAATACCACTATCTACCCACATGTTTCTCCCCCTTTTCCTATCTAAGATTATTATCTGATAAAGATAAAATGGCCACGCTCTCCTGTAGTTGCAGCTTCGTGCACTCCGCCTGTTAGGGATTTTTTCCCTCGTATCACCTTTAAAGAATTCACACACAAGACAGAGTATAAGAATTTTGAATGAGCCCTCTGCAGAGGGGGGAGTTCGTAACCTGACCAAACGTCAAGGTGAAGTCCGCC